ACCATACTTTTTGATTTCCAGTTGTTTGGTATAACATTTTCTACTGTCTTACTGTCAGCATATGTTTTTCATATCTGTGATATGTATTTACTAACATGTTTCATGTAGAAAGCATATACATTTGGGGACCTTTTAAAAATAATCTAGTCTGACAAACTCTGGCTTTTTATTTCATTTACATTTAATCAAATATTGTTGAGTTTAAGTCTAACATTTTGCTATTTGTACTATCTACTCTTTGGTACATTGTTTCTCCTTTTTTGCTTTTTTTTTCTGGTTTCTGTGACAGAAGCAATTGTACTTCATGACTTTCTATCTGTCATAGTTAGATTCCTGGCACTGGAATGAATATCTTGATTTATAAAAACTTTAATTTTTCTCAGTGATATATAAGCCTTTTAACATCATTCAATGAATTCCGTGTTTCAAGCACTATTATATCTTAAGAAGCAAAGTTATTATTGATTTTTGATTGACTGGATTTTTCATAGTTGTTGACTAGAGAAAAATTCTCCTGTTTCTCCCAGTGTCCATTTAAAACCAATTTATCTCTTCGGAGACCCCATTTTCAGGTTGTTTCCTAGGTTTTATGCTGCAACTATTTCCTTTCCTTCCCTTCCTTCCTTCCTTCCTTCCTTCCTTCCTTCCTTCCTTCCTTCCTTCCTTCCACCTCCCTTCCTTCCTTCCCCTTCCCTTCCGTCTCCCTCCCCTTCCCTTCCGTCTCCCTCCCTCCCTTCCTTCCTTCCTTCCTTCCTTCCTTCCTTCCTTCCTTCCTTCCTTCCTTCCTTCCTTCCTTCCTTCTTCCTTCCTTTTTTGAAGCAAAGTAGTGTTAAGAGGCCATGTCTTTACTTAATGGGCATCTGTTGGAGTCTACCCAAAACTAAAAAGATTGTAAAAGTATATTATAATATTCCTGTGGACCAGATGATGAAATGTGAGATGTATAGTAATGAAGTGAGGTGGTTTCATGGGCTATTAGGCAGCTTCATCTATTGTGTTCCTGTAGAGATTGAGGTCAATCTGGACAGGGTCCTCTAGCTAAATGCTACTGAGCTTCTGTCTGGGTATATCCCATTCTTTATATTTTGGATTCAATAAATTAAATCAATACTTAAAAAAATATGTTTTTTTTCCTAACCTATGGGAAATCTACCTGCATTTTAGGGGCATAACATGCTAGTTTAAAGAAATATTTTTTGTAGGTACCTTGCATAGCATTAAAACTGATACTATAAAAAGCAAATGCAAGTACTTTTCTCCTAATCATGTTCATCTCCACTTCCATTGGCACCCTTGGTTTTTGGGCTCAAGATTCAAAATTATTTTAATAGGTAAGAGAAATTGACATTGACCAGGTAAAATTTAAGTAGAAAAAGATCAAATTTCGTATTTAAGAAATTATCTATGTAAATATTTTTAGCAAATGTATAGAAGTATAGATATAGAGAGAAATATGTAGATACACTTGCATATGCATTCACACACATGCACACGTGCACACACATACAGGAATGCTTATCAGAAATACCTGGGATTTGTAGCTTTATCTAAATAAAAATAATTGGTTTGCAATCAAAACCAAACATGGGATTCAAGAGTTAAAAAAATTTTAATTAAGTGTTAGAGTACACACATAAAAGCATACATAGTTCAGATCATGCAAGAACATCTGGGAATACCTGGAGTGTTATAGCTGCCCCATTACTTTTATTTTATTGCAAAATGGAAAGTAAATAAAAAAGTAAGACCGGGATAGTTAAGACCAAAACCTATGTCATATACAGAATAATTAGGGAAAATAAAAATACTTAGTATGACAGTCAGAAAACTTATAGGGAACATGAAAACATTGGAAGCCATATAGACGATTTTGTATAGACTATACAGGCATGTTTTTTCCTGCTACTTTAGATGAGAAGTGATTTTAAGATTTTTCCCAAAGTATTCTTAGTGCTACTTGTCAAATTTCTTTGAGAAGTCATATTTCATTAAAAATATTATCCACATGTTTCATTCTATACCATAATGTGTTTGTGTTGGTATAATGTAAATAAATGATTTCTCTTCCTTCTCTTCGTATCTTCAGGGCAGAGCATTTATATTTATTCTGTGCTATCAGGCATAGTCTCTGGAATGCGCAAATAAGTGCACCTAGGTATTCATACTATAGGGTGAGATATGACCAATGGGCATGCATTCCTAAGTGTTATATTTTTCATTTATTACTTTAAAAGATCTTTCAAAACAAAAACCAAAATATAAATTTTCTAAATGTTTATCGTGTTGCCTTGAAAACTTGAAAATGAGAGACCAGAGCCTGAATAGCCATTTTCACATTTTTTTTGGATCAGGTGTAGAAAAGATTCCTACAGTAGATTTAACTTGTAATAGATAATTCAGAGTTCTTTGAGTCTATAATAGGTTTAAGATTGGAGATTCTGTATGGTACTCAGAGAAAGAAAAGAAGATGGGAGAAACTAGAAACCTGAAAGATATTCAATTCAATTAAATGTCAAATATTAAAATTTTAGCCTGAAGGAATGAAAATTTCAGGTTATAGACAATGATGGAGACCTTCAGGTAGCCCAGGAAAATGACTGTTACTGAATTTGGATCTCTCTGCACATCCTCCAGAAAACTATACAGACCAGTAAGAAACATAAATGCAACCCACATAACCCACAATGTCAACCAAACCAGAAGAAAAATAGCCCCCCAACTTCAAATTACTTGTTAGTAGAAAAATATAAGCTGAATTTCAGCAGAACATTCAACTTAAGCTCTAGCCACAAGTCTTTGTGGAGAGGAAGCAGTATCCCAATTGCCCCACCCCATCTTGTCAAAGTGCATGAAAGAGGAAGAACTGAAGGGCCAATATTAAATCTGCACATCATAAAACCATCTGAGTTAAAACTCTTGAGTGAAATGGCAAAGACAAAGAGAAATATAGAATTCTGAAGACTTAATAATAATGAAAATATTACATATCAGAACTTATAGAACACTTTTAAAGTAGATATCAGAGAAAAATTCATAGAACTAAACACTTTTATTAATAAAAGTAAAATAGTGAAAATAAAGTAAATTCTCAGCTGAAAAGTTAAGAACCTCCCCCCAGCAAAGCAAAGACAATTAAACAAACCAAAGAAAGAAACAGTAAAGATAAAAGTAGAAATTAGTGAGCTATAGAAAAATAGTAGATCTAAGATACAGTTAACTTATTAAAATTCTGTTTCTTGAAAACAATTGGTAAATAGAAAAAACACCAGCTAACTTAGTCAAGGGAAGAAAAGGAGAAAGAAGGCACATACATAAACACAAATAAAGAGACGGTAAGGGTGAAATAAACATTGAAATCAGAAGAAATAAAAAAAGAGATATTATCAAATGTGACTGTTTTTCACACTTCCAAGCCAATGAATTTGAAAACTTAGATGGATAATTTTCAAGGGAAATTTTATTTACTAAAATTGGACTCAAAGAAGACAGAAAGCTTAGAAAGACGCTAGGAAAATGTGATAGGCTGAATGTCCAGGGGGAAAAAAGAACAAAAAAATTTTTAATTATGTAACAAGATAGTTGATATTATGGAAAAAATAAATAAATTTTAAAAATTGAAAAAAATGTATAAACTATGATGTTACCAACAATACTAACCGTACTAGTAATGGCAATAAGTATATATTTGTTAATAAAAAATGCTCATATTATATTTTAAACTAAGCTCCATTTATAAAAGACAGTTAAAACAAAATAACCAAAATTACTTTAATAGAAAAATGAAGCTGGGCGTGGTGGCTCACTTCTGTAATCCCAGAACTTTGGGAGGCCAAGGTGGGTGGATCGCCTGAGGTCAGAAGTTCCAGACCAGCCTGGCCATCGTGGTGAAACCCCGTCTCTACTAAAAATACAAATTAGCCAGTCGTGGTGGCGTGTCCCTGTAATCCCAGCTACTCGGGAGGCTGAGGCAGGAGAATCACTTGAACCCTGGAGGCAGAGGCTGCAGTGAGCCAAGATCATGCCACTGCACTCCAGCCTGGGCGACAGAGCAAGACTCCATCAGAAAAACAAAGCAAAAACAAAAAAACAAACAAGCAAACAAACAAACAAACAAAATATATATATATATATCAGGGAAACACAAACAAAAATAAATTATGTGTACCTCTACTGATTGTTAACTGGCAAGCCACCCTTCGTGTTTCTCTCCTCTTTCTTTAATTCTTACATTGATATCCAATAAAATTTTTATTAGTTAAGTTGTATTTAAGGGATGCGAGAATGATGTAGCATTTTAAAAATATTAGTGCATCAAATTAATTGATTAGAAGGGAGAAACAAAAAAGCTTCCAAACACATTCTGAAAATGTATTTAATAAGAGGCAATATGTAATCCTCATCTTTAAAAAATTTTAGCAAATTAGATACCTTGACATTAAGAATATGTCTATTTTAAGCTGAAGCCAATATAATACATAATAATGATATGCTCCCAGAGTGTTCAGTAACCAAGGCAAGGATACCTACTATTATCATCATTAATTTACATTATTCTGGAAGTTCTCATTAATGCAGTGAGGTAGAAAACCATAGTAATTAAAATACCTATGGGAAAGGAAAATGCAGAATTCTTACAATTATAGGTGGTGGAGCTAGGAATTCCAAGGAAATAAAATGTTAATCAAATTGAAAGACAGCTCAGATATTTGACCGGATTGAAAACCACACTGGTATCAGTAACTTTCCTATAAACCAGAAATAACTATTTAGAAAATTTAATAAAAATCTTACTCTGAAGAGTAGCAAATATATAAAACATATGCAGGAGTGAATTTCTAAAAGGTAGCAAAGCCAAAAGTTTGCTAAATAACACAAAACAAAATTTTGATAGATAGAGTAAAATGGTGTGGTAAGGATTGATAAAAAAAGTGGACTTTTCCAAATTTATTTATTCAGCGAATACAATTCCAATAATAATCTAAACCTCAATTTTTAAATAGGTGACGGACTTAAATTGACGTTCTCCAGAGAAAAGATACAAATGGCCAACAAGTACTTGAAGAGATGCTGAACATCACTAACCGTCGGGGAAATGGAAATCGAAACAACAGTGAGATATCATTTCATACCTTTTAGGATGGTTATTATAAAATAAAAGATAATAGGTATTGGCAAAGATTTGGAGAAATGGAAACCCTTGTACATTATTGGTGGGAATGGAAAATCGTACAGCCTCTGTGGAAAACAGTATGGAGTTTCCTCAAAAGAAATTAGAATTACCACATGATCCAGCAGTCTCACTTCTGGATGAAGGAGGGAAATGGGGAGTAGTTCAATGGGTATAAAGTTTCAGTTGTACAAGATGAGTAAGTTCTGGAGATTTTCTCTACAGCATAGGGATTATAGTTAATACGGTATTGTGTACTTAACCATTTGTTAACAGTGTAGATCTCATGTTTTTAGTACAAAAACAAAGTGGCACACACACAAAAAACCTTTGGAAGGTGGTTGATATGCTTATTATCTTGATTGTGGTGATCGTTTCACAGCCATATGGAAATGTTCAAACTCATCAAATTGTATACATTAAATATGTGCAATATTTAGTATATCAACTATACCTCAATAAAGCCATTGAAAAATTTAAGCATATTTTCAAACAAAATACTTTCTATGTATGTATGATGTATGTGTGTGTGTGTGTATCTTTCTGTCTATATATGTGCATATATGTGTGTGTGTGTGTGTGTGTGTGTATAATTTATTTTTTTGAGACAGAGTCTCACTCTGTCGCCCAGACTGGAGTGCAGTGGCATGACCGCTCACTGCAGCCTTGACCTCCTGGGTTCAAGTGATCCTTCCACCTCAGCCTCCTGAGTAGCTGGGACTACAGACGCATGCTACCGTGCCCAGCTAATGTTTGTTTTTTTTGTAGAAACAAGATCTTGTTATATTGCCCAGGATGGTCTTGAACTCCTGGCCTCAAGTGATCCTCCTGCCTTGACCTTCCAAAGTGCTGGGATTATAGGCATGAGCCATCGTGCCCAGCCTCAGAGTATATTTTGAATAATAAATTGGAAAGAATATTTGGGAAATTCCTAGGAAAAGACATAATAAGGATAGATTTTCCCTATAAGATATTGATGTTTTATATAAAGCTAAAATATTGAAAACATGGGATTCTATGAGGTCATAATAAAATAAACATCAAATTTACTAAAAATTAAAATAATTTTAGATGCTTTTTCCTGGACTTCAGAAGGAAAAAATGCTTTTTCAGGAGTTACTGCATCCATCCATATCAATCATGAAAAGTTACCTTCTAGAATGATTCTGTCCACAGTACACAACAGCAAACACCAAGGTACCAACCATTAGGAGTATGTCCTACATTTTACATACCAAAACATGCAGGTCAAATGACAAAAAGGGAAATGTATTTGCAATATGACAAATGGATAATATCATTGACCTATTTGTGTTTATATATATAACTAATACACAAAGATTTCTCACAAATCAATAAGAAGAACTTCCTTTAAAAAAAGAGAATGGTCATTTTATCCTCACAATAATAACAAGTGGTTAAAAAGTTCATTTTTACTAGTAATATAAAATAAAGTATGTTTACAATTTCTTTTCATTATTTGAAATGTTAATGTTCAGTATTGACAGTTATGGGGGAAATAGACACCTGCTTTTGTACACTGCTGATAGGAGTACATGTTTTGTATGTAATACATATATGTATATCCTTAAAATATTCATACTTTTTAAATTAATAAATTCTCTCTAACAGTTTATTGAAAGGAAAGAATAAGAAAAGCCCAAATGTTTTTATCTTTTTTTAAAAAAATGTATTTGTTGAATGTCTGCAAATTATACTAATACATATGAAAAAGTATAAAAACAAAGTTAATTATCTCTCCCTGTCTGCCTTCTATCTGTGCTTCTCATTCCTTGGTGGAAACCAATTTTAGTAGTCTGGTATGTACCTTCATACCTATCTCCTTGTTCAAATGAATATATATGGCATATTATCTAAAGGACTTTGGTTGGTTAATTGTTAGTGCTGAAATGAACTTTAAATACATGCATTATTCTGTAGTGTGCTTCTTTCACATGTGAATATACTGTGGGCATTTCTAGAAGTCAGTAAATACAGATCTAAGCTTGCTTTATTAACTTCCTAAGGTAGACAAAAGCAAAAAAAATTATATATCATTATAATGGTATCATTTTTGTATTCAGTTGTATTATAACCATATGATTATATTTTACATACATATATATTGTATCATATATAATTTATACATAATATACATATTTATATATAACAGTTAAACTAAATTCATAAATTCTTTTTTATCTTTTTCCTCTCTGTTCATTCATTGAGGAATTATTTAGAATATCAAACATCCACAAAGAGATAACCATCCAATAAAAGAACTGCTGTGTCATTTGTGGAATACATTTTGATACATTTTTGTGTAATTTGTATGGGTTACTAGGCAGCCACGAATAAGCCATGTCTTTTGCTCCGCATTTTCTTAGATTCTGTATTTGACATCTGCTCATCACAGGGCAGATTATATTAACTATATTTTCTTATTTTCTGTACTTTTGATGCTCTGGCATTTCTTGCTGAGTAGGGAGAGACTGCCCCTCCCAGGGCTAGCGTTTTCCTAGAAATAACACAGGGCTGGCTGGGCGTGGTGGCTCACGCCTGTAACCCCAGCACTTTGGGAGGCTGAGGTGGGCAGATCATGAGGTCAGGAGTTTAAGACCAGTCTGGCCAACATAGTGAAACCCCATCTCTACTAAAAATACAAAAAATTAGCTGGGTGTGGTGGTGGGCAACTGTAATCCCAACTACTCGGAAGCTGAGGCAAGAGAATCGCTTAAACCCGGGAGGTGGAGGTTGTAGTGAGTCGAGATCATGCCATTGCACTCCAGCCTGGGCCACAGAGCCAGATGCCTGAAAAAAATTAAAATAAATAAATAAATAACACGGGGCTCAGTCTGGGAGCGTGTTTTTTGTATGTAGTCCAACCAATCCCCAACCATTTCCCCAGCCATCTCGTTATCTAATTATCAGATACCAAGCCATGTCCCTGGCCCTAAATTATTACAGGGCTAGTTACCAGGAAACTAGATGTCACCCCAATGCCCCAAAGCCCAGTATACTTCTTTAAACTAGCCAGTCCGAAGATTTTTCCTCTGTCCTGCCTTGCCAAGCCCCAGTCAATGCTCTGGCCTAGACTTTGCTCTCACTCCTGCTTCTACCTCCTGACTACCCCAGTGTTTTCTCCTGGGCCCTGTGTGGCATACGGTGACCCCCGCCTCTGGAACCTGTAAGGGTAATAAACCTCTTCCTTCCAAGACTCATTCTCATCTTCTCCTGTGGACACGCTGACTTCACCATGTCAAAGCCAATGCTTGCATTCTTAGTACATTTTTCAATGGTATTTGTGTAACGGGCAAATTACACAAAACAATATAAAACACAACACTCCAATTTCTAATGAATATATGTGTTTGCATACTTAAGAAAAATGTGTTAGAAGGAATTATACCCAAATGTTAATAGAGATGATCGGGGTGGTGTGATATGAGATAACTTCAATGTTTTCCTTTGTATTTTAATCTATTTTCCGAAGTTTCAACAAGTTTCATTATAAATGTAAATATGTCCATGAACATACGTCTCTATCTCCATCTATCTATTATTTTACGTTCACAACACTGAATTAAAACCAGCTTTCCAAGTTCCAGAATCTATTTCATATAACGAAATTTCAAAGTGAAGACCATCCTAGACTCTTGTGTGTGTGTGTGTGGTTTTTTTTTTTTTTTGGATTATGACTCTGACCTCCTAAATAAATAAAAGGGCAAAGAATGACACATATCTCCTGGCCTCTTTGATACAGAAAAGATACCATTGTGAGTATGGTTTTTGTCCAATGAACTGTTAGTTTCCAAAACAAAAACTGAGTAACAGCAGAAAACATTACAAGCTCCAATGCAAGGATTATGACTCAGTCTTTGCCCTCTCTGCAAAATGAACTCTTTGTAAACTACTACCCATGAATGTTCAAATACTTGGGAAATATTTTCATATGACTTCTGATGTGATTTTGACTCACGCTTAGTGATTTTTTAGTCCACAGTGAGGTAGAGTCCAGTGGCGAGTGGATGCCTGCTGTGGAAAAGGGCTTTATCATTTTAATTGCAACCAACTGAAATAGAAACTTTAATGGACTTTCAAACTATTTGATGTCTCATGCCTAAAATGAACATCATCAAGAATTTTATAGATGAACATAATAAATAACTTTATGCCACATTCATAACATAAGTAGAAATGTTTTAAAAGTGATGAACTAACAAATTGTGCCAAACTAAGGAATCTGGAACAGGGTGTACAGGGGATGTCTTTGTAGTCTCCCTGGTTATAGGAACTCACTTTTTGAAAATCAGAGGCCAGAATAATTTTATATGATGTAAAATATTCAACAATTATAAGTCAACGAGAAATAAATGTATACGAAAATGTCAAATACATGTCAATATCAGTGTGAATGTGAGATTCTATTCCAGTGAGTTCTCAAAAGATATATATACTTCTTAATAAATTTGCTTTTCTATACAAGAATCTAGGGATGTATGTATGTGTACATATTTATTGCAATATACAGTAGTAGAACTAATGAATAAAAGTGGGAAAAATAATCTTTGGTGATCAATCAAACTCTTACAAAAATTTCTTTAATTTTTTTTTGTTAAAAACTTTTATCAGAAAAATAATGTTTATGTACCTTGGGTAATCTGTAATGTCTGGTCATAGTGGAGTGGTTTTCTATACATAAAGTTATATGTTTCCTTAAAAGTAAGATCTGTGATTACAAGTGTTCTGTATTTGTGCAGAAATTGAAAATAATTTACAACATTTGTAGAATTATAAGCCAATTATCTGTAGAGATAACCTGATTAAAGAAAAACCTGTTTTAAAAATTATTTTGTATAAATATAGATATGCTCTGTATTAACAGTATTAGAGAAAAGTAAACATATTGATAATATTCATTTAAGATTCATATGATTTTCTGCTATAGTAATCTAAATCTAAGATTTTAACTCTACTTGCAAGCTAAGCAAGTAAAGTAAGCTTGTTAGTGTGGCACGGTTTTATGAATGTTGGTGGAAGACATATTGTGATTGTCTTTGGGGGCCATGTGGCAAGGAACTGTGGATGAACTCTTGGAGCTGAGGGCAGCTCCTGACCAACAGCCAGCAAGCAACAGGCACGTCAGTCTCATACTGGAAGGAGCTGAATTCTGCAGTGAGGACATAACACTGGAAGCAGCACCCAGCTCCAGATGAGAATGCAGCCTGGTCAATACTTTGATTTCAGTCTGTGAGAAACTGGTAAGAAAACTGAGCCCTGCATGGACTTCTGCCCTACACAACTGTAAGCTAATATACAGGAATTGTTTTAAGCCAGTAAGTTTATGGTAATTTGTTATGCAGCTTTAAAAAAACGAATATAAGTGAGAAACTAGGTAGAGAATTCCTGGTTTATTACACATTAACTATAATTTCCTGCTTCTTCACTGAATATTTTGTTATATAACCTACGGTGATGATTCC